CCAAACATATGGCCGTGAGATAAACGAAAAGCACCCAACAGCAAACGCGACCATGACCAACCGCAATACAAGTGGGGGGCAAGGCTATAGAACGTGGGGGAGTGGGAAGGCATACGTGGGACACGTGATACAGTTAATCGGCGAATAGGGGGCGTGCCATCAGGTGCCTATAAATACCCCAATGTGAGATAATGTATTTCTTCTTGAAACCCGAACTGTTTGAATGATCAATATACATTCTTCCTATTTCCCTTAAGCAACGACTGGTTCTCACACCAGAAGTACAACGGGGGAGAAATCTCCAACCTCATTTTGTAGGTAACATTCGTTGATCAGAGCAGCCGGAACACCCCACACGTCATCACTGCCGTGGAAGTAAATTTTGTATATCTGCAATTCGAACAATTGCAAAGATTAAATAGGAGAGTCGCTGAATAGGGAACATTAACCTGCGTAATTGTCTGACAATGGTATTAACAACCCAATCACTATCTGTGTTTGTGTTCAATTGCATAGATGAATTATGAAAAAAAAAGAGAAAGAAAGAAAGAGAAGAAAAGAAAAGAAAAAGCGTAAGCCCTTGTTTGAGCCTCATTTTTATGTTAAAATGAGTTTTGTAATAGTGATTTTTTTGAGGATGTGTAGTTAAAAAGTATCGAATATTTTTGGATTTACGTGCAAAATATTTTATTGAAAGAATATGTGGTTAAAAATGAATTTTTAAATAATGGAGCTCAAATAAGGACTAAATATACAGGAGACTGCCCTTGGGATATAATAGGGAATATAAAAAACGAGGGAATAGAGAGATGAATGAGGAGAGACCAGTGATGGCTAACTACATAACCATTGTGGGTTGGTTTAGTCATGGTTTGAAACCTCAAACCGCTGGTTAACCGAACCAACACAACCCACTTTCATATTTACCTTCTATGTTTTTTTTAAGAAAAATAAAAATTCTAAGATAAGCCATAATCTCATAACTATATCTCGATTCCCTCCAATCTATGATGTTGGCAATAAGTAATAGCACTGAAAATATACTTTCACAAGCTCATTATATTATATTTAGATTTTTTTCCCTCCTTAGGCAGTCGGGATACATAATGTATAAAAAAGCAAAAAAAAATTCCTAAGTTTTCTGTTGATCTAATTTTATGCGTTACTCAATAGTTCTTGTAATATAAAGTTATTTAATTATTTTAGTTCTTGTAATCTAAGTGGACCCAAAATTCAAGCAATTTAAAAAAAAAAATCAATTTGGACTAAAAGTCTAGACGGACTAACTGAATCGAACCAAACCGATTTGGTTTGGGTCGGTTCGGTTTAAGAGTTGGAGTGGGTTGGTTTAGGTTGAAGTTCACCCAAATCGACTAATTTGGTTTTGGTTTCGGGTTGAAGTCGAAACCGACTCAAACCAAACCGCGCCGAGGCCTCTGTATATCACACAATGTCCTTAAAACATATTTGTTTCCTCACCATAAATGCTTGAGGTTTCTTTGAACTTTTGTCTCCCATGGTATTATTGAGAAATCAGTAGAAACTGAGCACCAAGTTTCTATGCCGACGAACTAAATTTATATCTAAACACGATCACCAAGACTCGGATATGAACCGGAAAAATTTCGGGCATATAGAAAATAGAATATTTAGGCTAGAGAGAATAGAGCTTTTTATTCTTTCTTATGTGAAACAGAAGAAAATCGACCCCTACCATAGGCTCGGCTCCATGAATGGCAAGTTAGTTTCACCAATTAACAAGTTATTTACGACCTATTAAAATAGGCTATTAAGCATTGAAGTTTCAGGAGTTGAAGATATTATAAAAGCTAGAAGGACAACTGGAAATAAATAAATAAATAGGAATAAATAAAGGCAAAAGGTGGACCCTAATAAGGTGCCAAATTTTGGTTCATCATTGGTGTACGAAGTTCACGCTCGCATACAAGTTCAATGGCCTGAGGTGCTAATCCAGTCCATGATTTGCAGCCTCTTGCATGCGCACGTAAAAAAAGCATCTATACTACAAATGATTACAACTTCCTAAATGTGGTTATATAAAAGTTATCACTAGTCATTGTCTTATCATCTTTCTTTCATGGGGCTAGCTACACTTGCTTTCCATCCAACACCTAAACCATTCCCATTGGATACAATTTGTTGATGGTCAATCTTTTCAAGAGATTAAGCTAGAGGCATATTTAGCTTGTGACAATTAATACCGTCCATCAGAGCTAGATGTGGCCCATGACATAAAAACTAACCAAGAGAACCGAAATATTATCACCGCTAATAGTCAGATCATCCATATAAAGAAATAAAATTGATAACTTTTTCAGATTCGTGAATAAATAAAACAAAATAGTAAGAATTAGAAGACCTTGCTTTAGGCCACATAGAGCATGACGAAGAGAACACCTTGTTAGGTTGATGATTATAGCCTAGAGAAAGCTGCATATTCATACTTGTGAACACTATACACTAAACCTCTTTCCTCTCAACGCCCATAAAAGGTGATTGTAAAAAGAAATAATTTATTTATTTTTATCAACAATGGACAACAAACGCTAAAGCTTGTGTCTGAACTGTCTTTTGATATTTAAGTTTCATAGGATTGCCTGTTTATTATCTAGACAGTTATTTTATTTTGATATGATAGACTATTCCAAACAGATGGACCTAACAGAGTTATTATATCTGTGGTGGAAACAGACAAAGTTACGGATAATCCTGCTGATCAGTTAGTAGCGTTGATTAACAGTAACAGAACTGCAAGTAAATCATCATCTTTGTACAGCAATCAAGGCCTTGCATGCATTGCTTTACAATACATAAAAGCATACCAAGGTGACTGTAGTGTGGTGGGAGGGGAAGATGCCAAGAAACCGGCCGAGTCTCAGTTTGCCGAAACTTTTGCACCTAATTGTAATGTTGAGGCCTCGACCCTCACTCTGATCACCGGCCGACTACTGGGATGCCAGTCAAAATACGTCAAGCCATCGGAAGCATTTTCAGAAATTCTGATGAAGAATGATAAGAGCTTGGAAATAGTCCATAGCAAGAATCACACAGAAGTGGGTGCTGCCGTGACTGGGTCTGATGGCGGTGGTCCCTATTTCTGGTGTGTTCTGTTCAGCAACGGCAAATCCAACCATAGCTTTGTCCCTGAGGAAGGTGTAGCTAAGATTAGTCGACCTGGATGCTTCAGCGGTGCCAATGATGAGTGCAGTGGTGCTCCTGCATTATCCCAAAGCCCTCGTCTTTTGCCAATTGCTATAGGAGCTTTGATTGCGTTTGTATGTGCCTTTGGAATATGATATGCTACAAATTTTTTTGACTTGATTTGTAAGGCCACTTTCCTTGGGTATGGTCGTCTCTGTATTTGATTGTTCATTCAATTGATCTTCATTTTTAAGTGTGTGATTTTCGTTGCATCATACGATGTTTCAAAATATATATTTTCATCTCCAAGATGGTCAATTCTCAGAATTTTTGGCTAACTTTTGACATGCCTGTTGCTTAGAACTTGATGGTGAAATTTTACTCAACTGACTCCCATTAATGGGGAACCAGTAATCCATTGGAAAAGAATGCAAAACAATTATTGGCGAAGAAAGTGTGGGTTGCGGGTTGCAGATTTGCTCATCGTACCATAGCTTGGAAAAGTTTCAGTAGGTACCAGAATATTGTAAGACGCGATGCCAGGTGTTCTATAGATGAAGAGGTCTGGTCTTACTGGGTTAGAAGCTCAAGCTCGTTGAACGTCTAAAATCTGCAGATGATTATAAACTTCAACACTAAACCAAGAACACCTAAAACAGTGATATTATACATTTATCTTTTTCTTGAACATTGTTCCAAACAATTCTTTCAACATTTGATTCCGATGAACCAAGACTGGAATATGACTCTAGTTCACGAATTAAACAAAATCTTGTTTATTGTATAGACGAGTTCCGTTGAGATAACCATCAGTTCATGCTAAGAGGCTTTACACTTCAAGACTAAACCAAGAACAGCTAAAGTAATTATAATACCAGTTGAAGAACCCCCAACCCTATGAATCCAGTAAGGATCAAACCTGGTGAATAGAGTATCCTTGAAACTTGAAAAAGCAATGCCCAGTATCAGAACTAGCAGCAGAAGAGGCAAATAGGAAGAGAAATTTATGGGCTCTTCAACTTCTGGCTCAGATACGGATCTCCGATCAATATATAACGGAGATAATATAGCAAGAATTGCTAGTCCTATGGCCATAAGCTTGTGATCAAGTGATGAAATTCTTCTACCCCTTGGCATAGCCGTTTGATCTTGTTCCATTTATTCAACTAGGCAGAAATTTGAATTAACTAACTGGATAAACCCTTATATATACCAAACTATATTCTCTTGAATAGAGTATGTTTGGCTGAGCTTAAAATGTTTACACGTAAGTAATTATACTCTCTTAAGTTCTAAAATATATAATATTTATTGGTCACTAAAGTAAATACTTCTGAGAGTAAGACTAGATTCACTTTGAAGATTTTTAGCTATTTTAACTTAAAAAGTTGTATGAATTTGGATCAAAATGATGTGATACTTCATTTGCAATAATGTAATTGTATTCCACATTGCTTGTGAAAGACCTGTCTCATGGATTTATAAGCACTTTGGACACCCTCTCTTCAAAGTCAATTTTAAGGGTAAATCTACGCAAGTAGTTGTTACATTGGTCGAGTGGATTGCTAGGAAATGTGCGGAAGTAGCATATGAGGTAGAAATAGTTTTGGATTTAAAGAAATTAGGTTAACACTAACCATTAGGGGCAAAACCAATAAAAGTAACTTGTGAAAATAAAAATTTACTTAAAAGTAACTTTTATTTGACCAAATGTGATGTGATATTCTACTATTACTTGACCAAACATGCTCCATTAATGCTAATATTCTTCTCTCTTAAAGCCATTTTTCGTGTATAAAAGGGTGACAGTCACCGTGGAGAGTATCCAAAGGAGGGTCACTGGGGAACTTGTTACATAAGCCAGTGATGAGATAAAGGGTTTGGATGGGCATAACTTTGAGAAAAAGAGAAGCATTAATATCCACTTTTACACTCAATTCTAGTGGTGCACCTATATCACAATGGAATCGGATTCTGTCTGCGTCCTTAAATTGCCTAAAAAGTCATGACCAAATCTTGAAATTTAGAGATGTGATAGTTACGTTTATCACGTAATTCACAGTGAAGTACTAATTACTTTAATTTTTGACATACGATTTCAAGACGACGAAAATAGTAGGATTCGACAAGGTGTTAAAACATGTTTGAAGTGACTTATCTGAAAATAAACAACAAATGTGATACATTAAAAATAAATCACACATCTGGAACTTATCTTTAAAATAAATCGTCTCTAACATGCTTTTAGCCTTGCAATGAATGAGATATAGTTTTTGTAACATTCTTGAGAAATGTCAATCCAAAATACTTTCACCTTTTATTTCTTATGTGAATAGACACATTTTTATGTACTAGGTGCAAGCAACGTACAATACACGTTTGCTTAGTTTATATTTAATAATTTTGTTTAAGATTAGTTTGTTATTAATAAATATGTAATTTTTTTGGTTAATTAAATAATTAATGATGTAATGTTTATATAATTGATAAATAATTAGATGTGTGATTTTGAGGTTGTGATGTAAGTTGGTGAGATCGAAGAAAATAAGCAAAAGTTGACAAATTTGGAGAAAATGCTAAATTGTAAGGAATCCAAAGTTCGGGGACTAAAATGTAAATACTTAAAAGTTGTGCCGAACCTCACGATGAAAATTTGAGAGTGCTTGGAGTCTATTGGATAAAGGAAGACGTCAATGGAATCAAATTTAGTCAAAAGATGATCACAAATCAATTTCCAACCGAAAAGTTATGCTCTGATGTTTTAGTCTTATATTGAGACCTATTTTTGGCATAGAAAGTGATCTAATTGGAGAATAATGTCTAAATCAAAGTTGTAGACAAATGAGTTAGCTTTCTAACGCATTTTGAATCGCCTCAATCGGATATCGGAATGTAAAGTTATGATAAAAATACTGAAAGAAGGTGTAGCTGCCTGTTTAAAACAAGAAATTCCATTACATAATCCGCTAATACAATAAATTCCATTAGTTTTTCCATTAAAAACAAGAAATTCCGTTATATAGCCACTTTTAATATATAGAAAATGTTCGATCTTCTACCTTATCCTCGATAGTGTGTGCATCAAAATATTGAGTCCCGTTTGGCCCCCATTATCCCAAAAATTATTTTTCTCTTTTTTATTTTCAATCATACAATCTTTCATAAATTAATATTACACATAAAATAAAAACTTTTCCTTCTTTTTCAATTATACATTTTTCAAAAAAATATTATTTCAAAAATTATAATTTGAAATAATGAGTTCCAGACGGGGGCTAAATATTATTTCAAATGTTGATTTTGTTCCAAATGGGAATATCCTTTTTGGACAATATCTTTTATTTACCCGTAAAATTAACTCATTTCTATCTCCTTAGAGCATCTTCAAGAGAATCTCCATTTTTAAAAAAACATATTCAAATTTAGAAAGTATTTATAAAGTTAGAGAGGAAATTTTTTTAAATACTCCGACAAACTCTTTATATTTAACATTTAGCCCTTGTTTGATCATCGTTGTTTTTAAAATACATTTCTTTCTATTCGTTTTAATCACACATTCTTTATCAATTTGCTATTTTAAAATGTATTCTTAGGAAAAAATTGAGTTCAAACAAGCTCTTAATTTTATTATTTCCAAAAAATATTTATTAGTTTTCATATCTTTTATGTTCACTAGTCTCTCTCCAAATTATTATATTATTTTTTTCAATGAAATTGAATTACTTTGAATATATTTAATTATAGAGACTGGTTTTACTATTCAAATTTGAAGAGTCAAACCAAATCTTTAAATTAAAATGTTAATTTAAAGAATCTTTATTTTTAAAGAGTATATTCTACAATTTAAAGAATATCCAAGAGTTTAGAGAGTACACATTTATAAGTACTTTAACAGTCTCTTTATGTTTAACACTTAATTTTAATACTCTCAAAAAATATTTATTATTTTTCCTACCTTTAATTTTCATTAACTTTTCTCTAAATTATTATATTATTTTCTTTCACTGAAAATTGAAATACTTTGAATACATTTAATTTTAGAGGGTGGGTTTGGCTCCATCACCATCTAAATTCAAATATTAATTTAAAGAGTGCCTTGAAACATAATTTTACGATTTGACTCTTTAAAATATAGAGCATTCTATATTTAAAGAATCTCTTCTATTTAATTATTATATGCTTGGTCCTCAAATTATGGTAAGTTGATCGTCACAAAATTTTCCTTGTGGAAAAAAATTGCAGCTACTGTAGTTTTCATCTATTAATAATTAAGTCATTAAAGAAATTATAGCTTTGGCCACTATTTTCACCTTGACTCCAAATTTTTCTAATCCCTTACCAAACAATAATTCTTTTATTTCACAAATTTGGATCAAATTCAACAACATACCCATATTCTTAATAGTTGGTTATTATATCTCAATAATTCGATCAAGAGTATGACCACTTTATAGTTCGACACTTTGACTCCCAATATCACTATTATCCTATCACTCTTGACTTAGAGGTAGATCCGATTCACGGTTTTTTAATCATTATTTTGGTCAATAACACTTATTTTTTTTTGAAAATACTAAAAAATAAAATGCATATAATCCTTGAGACCAGGGTGGGCAAAATCCGACCGAACCCTCCAAACTCGTCAAAATCGAACCAACTCGACCGGTTTGGGTAAGTTTTTTTGTTGTTTTTAAATGGGTTCGATTTTTTGGTTGTGTAGACAGGTTGTGTTGGGTTATGGGTTAACCAATGAAAATCGAATAAACCTACCCAACCCGCCCGCCTACTTTTAGAAAAAAAATGCACTTTGTTCTTTAAAAGTTAAGCTAATGAGGATCAAATAAGATAATATATAATTTTATTTATTTATTTATTTACTATTTAATTTTGTATATTCGAATTGAGTATAATGAAAATTAGATGACTTTAATGTTTATGACAAATTGTCACAAATCGACTGACCCAATCCAGCCGACCGATACTTGATTGAGTTGAGTTTCAACCTTTACACGAATTGGATTGGATTAAATTGTGATCAAATCGATCATGTTGGGTTGAGGCAAAAACTGACATAATTCAACGCAACTTATACCCACCCCTAATTGAGACCAGGTGCAAATAAATAAATAAATAAATGTGGCATCAAGTTAAAAGATGATCAGAATCTCTTACAAAGCACCCTACATTTTTATTTTAGAAGGACGACAAAAATTCTTGAAAATAGTGTTAAAAGTAAATTAGCAAATAAAAAAATGCCCTGAGCTCCAAGTAGCACTATTTCTGGCAGTTTAGTAAAAGTTGGACAGTGTCATTGGGCCTCTCCAACCCCAAGAACCCATATATGATATTATGATGGGAACAACACCGTAAAAATTAGGGAAAAATTCATATCTAAGGTGTATTCTTTACCACAATTCAAAAGTAAGGTAAATAGTTTGCAAATTCAAAAATCAGGTATGGATTTAATTAATTAAAGATATNAAATTAAAAATCAGGTATGAATTTAATTAATTAAAAATATTTATTAAATAAAGATAATAAAGTCACAATTTGTGATTAATGGTCACATATTCATAATTATAAGTTACAGATTTATTTACTAGTCACATATCGTCAAATTTTTTTATCCCAAATTATTTCAAGGTCACATATCAGATTATTTCGAGATCACAAATTATTTCGAGATCACAGATTTTTAAATTAGTTGGTCATAGATTATTTTTGAGTCATGTATTATTAAATTTTTAGGTCACAGTTGAGTAATTGGTCACAAATTACCAAACATTTGGTCATAGATTACCAACATTTGGTCCCCACCCCAAAATGAAAATTCAGAGCCCAGCCACTGTCACACCGTCTAACCACCATCACCACTACCGTACCGTCTACCATCACCACCAAAATGAAAATTGGTTGGTCACGAATTATATTTTTATTCACAGATTACCGAATTGTAAGGTCATAGATAATAGTTTTAGTCACAAATTTGGCACCACTGTCGATTGCTACCACCATTGCCAACCCACCACACACCTAATCTAGTCAAATACCACACCACCATCTCACAGCATTCATCTGAAAAAAGTCCCCAACTCCACACCACTACAGAACTCACACAAATTAGCGCACATGCGCCACAAATCGGCCACCTCCACTAC